AAATACTTAAGAATAGACCAGCATAAGATCTATTACCATCTTATCATAAATGTACATAGTTCACCACTGAAAGTTAGAAGAATTTTAAATTATCTTCTTGGTATAAATGAACAACATCCTTATAACTTTTTAAGGAAAGGTATAGTATTTACAGTTTTGACAGTTCAAATTCAGTGAATTGTTATAACTTTAGTTACAGCATATTTATTTAATGATTGCATTAGAAAACAACTAATATTTCACAGTGATTTTACTCACTACAAATGTTGAAGATATTTTAGAGAAAAATTCATCTCAATCTCAATAATGATGGAAGCATAAGTGACTTCTTTACAAATACTGAGTTAAAACCAGATGGCAACATCTATCAGAATCCCAAATGTTTCCAATTCTAGTCTAGTGGTCTTACTTTTATAACATACAGGCAGCACTGAAAAGAGGTAGGGTAATAATTACACTATTTATAACTCATGGACTATAACTTTTAAAATGTTGTTATTAAAATAGAGAATGAGATCAAAAGAAAAATGGCCAAGAGTTGCAACTAAAGTTTCAACATGGAATAAATAATTTGAAAAAAAAATAATTTGTTTAATATCTATACAAAAAATAAGTCAATTATCCCATCACTTATAAATGACTAACAACCCAGTGCATGAATTTGTGCACCTTGAAAGGAACGGTGAGCTATGAGACTGCAATGGACACAGGAGCAGATCTTGGCCCATCCTCCATGCTCCATCCAGGCCCTGCCGCCATGGCCTCCAGCTCCCTGTCTGCTGGAAGCTCCACTTCCACTGCCCCTGCTGCCGCTATCATGCTCTGATGGCACTGGCCCTGCTCACACCTGATGTGATACAGAGTGATTGGGGCCGGTGGCAGCAACAGGTAAGGGTGGAGCCATTGCCATCAGTGGGTACAAGTGGTAGCTGCTGCCCCAATTACCTCTTAGGAGCAGGGGGAGATGGAAAATTCCTGAGGGGAAATTGGGGCTGGCAACTGCTGATGGTGCTGAGTGATCAGGGCTGGGGCTGGGCGCTGGCAGTGATTATGAGCAGCAGCTCTGATGCCAGCATCAGGTGCAAGCACTGTGCAGAACTGTGGCACATGGAAGCAAAGAATTTTTAGTAACCATCAGAGGCTCACCCTGATGACAGAAACCGGTGCTCGCCTTGTTCTGGCACCCCTGCTCACCTGCTCCACCATCCTACCATGGCCAATGCCACCATGTTCCATGCTCTGCCACCTTCTGCCAATGACTGCCATGTTCCATGCATGTGCCCTGGTAGCCAGTACACATAATAGCAACTGGTTGCTTGGTTGTTCTGCAATTTGGTCTATTTGCATATTAGGGATATATATACTAAAGGCCCTGTGCATGAAAATTCATGCATTAGAGGGGAGGGTTCCCTCAGCCCAGTCTGCCCTTCTCACAGTCCAGGAGCCCTCAGAGGTGGGAGGTGACCTGGCGATCAGGAGAAGGCAACACCCCCATCACACCTCTGCTGCCATCACCACTGGCAGCACAAGCCTCAGTTGGCCCTGGTTACCTGAGCCTCAGGTACCCCTGGAAGGCTGGACAGTCACCATTTGAGTCTTGCCTGCATCTCAGACTGGCTCTGGTGGCTGGCTAGCTAACATCTGAGGCTTGCCTGTGCCTTGGGCTGGCTGTGGGGCTGAGGGGACTGAGAGACTCTAGAGGCAGACACGCAGTGTGGCCAGGCTTGCCTTGGGGCAGACCCAGCTGTGCCACATGCCTGCCACCCCATTAGGGCGGAGGGGACTGGATACCCCATCTTGTGACTGTGGGTGCCTCCATATTTGAGGGTGTGGCAATCAATTAGCATATTCCCTTTTATTGGTTGTGGGTGCCACCATCTTTGTGAAGATGGGATGGTCAATTAGCATATTCCTTCTTTATTAGATAGGCTAGATTAATCTTGTCATCATTCTTCAATTACTTACCAGGCTTTTCCTTTTATTAATTGTTTTTTACTTAGGAAAGAAATTTAATTTTGTTACCAAAGACAAAGCATTAAGAAAATTTTATTTGAAAAATATTTTGTATTATCTTATATCAAAATATTTAATATTTCTCTTTGCAATATTGGATTTTTATCTCTGGTGGCAATTGAATAGGGATAATCCTATCTAATAATCTAATAATAGAGTAATATGCAAAGTAACCATCACTCCATGACAAAAATGGAGGCACCCATAGACACAAGGTGGTGGCACCCAGTCCCCTCAGGCCCACCAGAGGGCTGCCAATGAGAGCTGGCAGCTCGGCCCAGGCTGTAGGCCTGGGAGGTGGCCACACCCCCAGCACCATCTGCTCCTTGCTTCAGCTGTGCATCCCTGGCGCCATCTTCTCCCAGCCACAGCCCAGGCCATCCATCTGGGAAGCTCCCGTGCTCCCCACCCCCCTCCTGTGATCTGCTTCCAGCCCTGGCCCGGGCCATGGGCCTGCAAGGTGGCCACGCCCTTTGGCATGATCCGCTTCCAGCAGTGACCCAGGTCATAGGCCTGTCGGCTAGGGGGTGCCTGCACCCCTCTCAGCATGTTTAGTTTTCAGCTGAGGTCATGGCTGTAGGCTTGGGAGGCAGCTGCACCTCCCAGGCATGATCCACTCCCAGCTGTGGCCAGGACTGTAGGCCTGTTGGCTATGAGGCATCTGCACCCCTCTAGGCATGTCCTGCTTTCAGCTGTTGCCAGCTTCTTCCCAACCTGCAAAACTCCAGCTTGATTTCCCTATAAAGGGAAGAGCATAGGACAGGATGTTCACAGGAAACGGTGACAACTGTTTGCATGTGTGGACTGTGCTGGAGCTGTGTTCATGGCACTGTGGGAACACTGAGGAAAGAGCAAGCAGATATGGCTGCAAGGATGGGGAGAGGGCCACAGGGACTTGGCCAACCTTCAAAGGGCCCAGTAGAATTTTCAAAGGTAGAGAGGATGAAGATTATTATGAGGAGAAAGGCATCTTGGAAGGAGTATTTCTAGCAGAAGGAAAAAAATGGGCCAAAAGTTTGTGAGAAAATGGATAAGTACGGTTTTAGTAGACCTCTATGTGAAAAAGGCTTCCATCTTGACACTTACATTACTTAACAGACTTGGCTCCAATTGACTTTGCCCTTTCAAAATAATTTTTGGAGGAAAAGATGGACAGTTGATTACATGTCTATTGTCTATAAAAGAAAAGGAAACTCGTAGAAAATATTAATATGAAAAAGTGTGAAATCAACTATAAACCTTATACTTATTCAAATATAAGCCCAACAACCATATGATATCACCCTTTCAAGATGTCATGAAATTCCTGTTTAAGGACTTTATTTATGACACTTTTAGTTTGGGTTTACATTTTTAATGTTTTGTCAAGACCACAGCAGGTACACTGTCCAATATGTTAAAGAAAAAACCCTATCTAATAAAGAGGGAATATGCAGGGGAGGGCATTTAGGGGTGACCGGGCTATCAGGGGAAGGCAGTTGGGGATGATCAAGTTGGCTGGGGAACAGTTAGGCATCAATCAGGCTGGCAGGGGAGTGGTTAGGGGCAATCAGACAGTCAGGCAGGCAGTTGGGAGCCAGCAGTCCTGAATCATGGAAGGGATGTCTGACAGGCAGTTGGACATCTCTCGAGGGATTCCAAATTGGAGAGAGTGCAGGTTGGGCTGAGGGACACCCCCCACCCAGTGCACAAATTTTGTGCACCAGGCCTCTAGTAGAATATAAGACTACAATTAAAATCACAGGTTTGTTGTATATATGTTAGCAGTGCTATTATTGCTGTATTTAATAATATGTATTTAATAATATGAAATATAAACTACAACTTTTGAGAACAATGAGTAAAAGTTCTGTAAATCAATAAATCCAGATCTGGAATTCCAAGGTAGTCCAACTGTCCATATCATAATACCATGAATGGAAACATAGACACAACCAAATACAATAAACAAAGTCAGACAGTAAGAAAAACATAAACTTGATTTCTAAGGTAGGTTTAAAATTTTGATGGTGAATATTATTTAAAACTGTGATGTTGAAATCTGGGGCCATTCAATGCATTGTTGTCCCAGGAACAGGACAGGAATGCTTCACCAATAAAATAAGATAAAATAGAACTTTAACAAAGCTGAAAGAGAAAATGTTAACAGATGCAACTTGCCAATTTTATTTATTTAATTACGTTTTGCTTAGAAATTTGTCTCAAAACTTGGTACCTTATACCATTTGCTATATAACAAAAAATATCAGGGGTCAGAGTTAATACAAAACAGAATGTGAATATTAATTGTAATATGTATAAATCGTCATTATGCTTATATCATAGGTGAGAGTACATATATTGCATATATTTAATATTAAGTTGGAGTTTCCAACAGTTGGTATAATTAATGTAAGTTTTTACGGTAGAATTAAATTTAATATAATTCATAGGATTCTAAAATCACATAATAAATTTCAGGTGTTCTCACATAAATAAGTTAGTAAAGCATTAATTTTAAAATTAAGAAAGAATTTTAATATATATCTGAATCTATATACATAAATATCTATAATAATGAAAGCATAATATGTAAATTAGACCAGACATCCTTGCCGATGCCCTTCTGGACAAAGCCGGGACTGCAAGCACCACCTGCAGACAGGGAAAACCAGGTCCTGGGCACCAGTCGAGAAAGGAAGGCCTACTTTTGTGTGAATTTCATGCATTGGGCCTCTTGGATAGATAGATAGATGATAGATAGATAGATAGATAGATAGATAGATAGATAGATAGATAGATATAGATATAGATATAGATATAGATATACATAATCAATTTACTGAGATTTAAAATTTTCAATATGAAAACTAGCTTTCACATTTCATATGACACTGGGAAAAACATCTGCTGCTGTCACTGAACATTCAATATATTTTTTTTTTTACAAAAATCTGAATCCACTTTAGTTCCTTGATTAGAGCCTTCTCTTGTTTGTGTTCTTTCAGGAGCCACTATCAGTGTGATTATTGACGTCAATGTACATATTTCTGTCATCGTTTCTGCACTCATTGCCATTCTGTACACCTTGGTGGGCGGTCTCTATTCTGTGGCCTACACAGACGTTGTACAGCTCTTTTGTATTTTCATAGGACTGGTAAGTGGGGTCATTTGCAGATATTCTTTCTCTCTCTCTCCCTCACCTTCTTTCCTCCTTCCCTCTCCTCCTCCCTTTCTCCCTTCTTCCTTTTCTTTCCTAACTTCCTTCCTTTATTCTTTTTCTTTTATAAAATATTATGTGGAATTTTATACTAACTCAGCAAAATCTAATAGAAATGTTATTTTTCATCATGAGTAATACATAGCAAATCACATACTATTAAAAGTTAAATCTCTTTATAATTTAATTTAATAAAAATTTCTAATAGTTTTGTTAGATTTTGCCAGACAAATGTGCCCTCAGTTTACTTTTTAGAAAGGGCTAAGTCTTCCTATCCTTCAAGGCTACATCTGCTGGAAGCTTATGTGTGATATTCCTTTAAGTTTGAAGGCAACACACTTTTCACAACCTGAAAATTTAAACCTTGATGCTAACCTGTATGAGTTTCTTATCCTACCCTTACATTACTGTTAGTTAATCTATAAACTCCTCATAGAGCATAGAAGTACTCCTCTTGGAAATACTGTGGATTTCAATATTAATTGTGGTCTAAAAACAAAAAAAGGCTTAATTATTATGTAAGGCACTAAAAATATTTATTATTTATTGAATATACATCCTAGGTTAAAGTAGGTAATATATTTGTGCTTCATTAAATAAAAAGCACTGCATAATTATGAGATATGAACATTAGAAATATTATATTAAAAACACTTTTGTTTGTTCTAAATACATTTTAGTCAATGTTCATACTTTGCAAACTAAAATCTTAAAATGTGACCATTGTGCCTTGGCCTGTGTTGTTCAGTAGTTAGAGTATCAGCCCATGCAACAACTTCCAGGTCCAGGGCAGGTATCTGGGTTGCAAGTTCAGTCCCCAATGCCTGTCTGGGAAAGTCCTATAGGCAATCAATTGATGTGACTTTCCCATTGATGTTTCTCTCTCTCCCTCTCCATCACTTGTTTCCACTTTCTTTAAAAATAAATGGAAAAATATCCTGGGGTGAGGATTAATAAAAATTAAAAACATGATTATTATAATTGTATCACACTAATAAAAGAGTAAGATGCTAATTGACCATAGCTGAATGACGCCCACCAGCCAATCAGAATTGATTATGCAAATTAACCCAAGAAAGATGGTGGATTAATTTGCATATGGAGGTATGGAGGGGCCAGGAGTGTTGCTGGATGCTTGTGTCATCACCATAGCAACAACACAGGCATGCTGTACCATGCCAGCCATTCTGGGCCTCTGGGTAGTGTGGGAAGGCAGAAAGGCGGATCCGGGCTTAAGCAAAAAGGCAGCTATGGCCAGAGCAAAGGTGGTGCCAGCAGCCAGGGAAAGGAAGGCCCATTCTCTTTTTAAAAAATAAATTTTATTGACCTTTTACAGAGAGGAAGGGAGAGGAATAGAGTTAGAAACATTGATGAGAGAGAAACATCAATCAACTGCCTCCTGCACACCAACTACTGGGAATGTGTCCGCAACAAATATAAAATGTATTTAATTGATAAGAAATCAAGTTCTGTTTGTTACTTCTTCAGGCATTATTAAATTGGTAGAACATGCCCTTGACTGGTATTAAACCAGGGACCTCTGAGTCTTCAGGCTGATGCTCTATCCACTGAGCCAAATCAGTTAGGGCAGGAAGGCCCATTCTTGCAAGAATCTTTGTGCATGGGGCCTCTAGTATTTAATAATATCCACCACATATGACATACTGAATATTAAGTAAATGGAATATGCACTCTGTGCTGGCAGCTGTGATGCTTTGTGCATATACATGACCTCAGGTGTGTATCCCATAAGAGCAATACCCTTGTACAAAGGCCATGGACTGAGCTAAGACTACTGATCATGACTCATTTCCTGTGGGTGATCTAAGCACCCTTGGTTTTCCTTGACGTTTTGATTTTTTTCATATCATGGAAGGTATCGAGTGTAAACACTCTATTAGTGTTTACACTAGATAATCAAAAAGAAAAAATGAAGAATGAATTTTATACTCATATATGGCTCTTTTGTTCTTTACATCCTAGCATCTCTAATATACAGAAGAAAAATGTTAAAGAATGAATTACAGTTAGAATTACAGTTTAGACATTAATTTACATGATTATATTATTTAGCAATGATTATAATATTTCATCTTTTTCTTCTAGATGTTTTATTTGCATTTCCCAGAATTTTACACTTATATTTTAGTTAAATCCAGAAGTATTTAACTAGCTCAAAGACTTCTACATTTTTATTTTTAAATATCTAAAAGCAAGTGACAGTGAGATTCTGAGTTTTCTTAGCAACATCTTAAACTTCCAGAAATAAAACTCCATTATTTATGTTGAAGATAAGGTTAGTTTGGCAGGTTACAGGTCTTATAAAAGATAATGAACACAGCTTCAGGGATGAATCTATTTAAAAGTTTTTTTTTTAATTTATTTTATTGATTTTTCACAGAGAGGAAGAGAGAGGGATAGAGAGTCAGAAACATCGATGAGAGAGAATCATCGATCAGCTGCCTCTTGCACACCCCCCACTGGGGATGTGCCCGCAACTAAGGTACATGCCCTTGTCCAGAATCGAACCCAGGACCTTTCAATCTGCAGACTGATGCTCTATCGACTAAGCCAAACGGGTCCCGGCAGGGATGAATCTATTTATTCATGATGTATTGCTTTGTTTGAGACCAGAACTTAAAATACCTAAGCTCATAGTCAAATGTGCTAGTAAAACCATGGCAGGGCAAATATATGTAAGGATGCGTTTTAGAGTGGTTTTCTGCTATAAAATGTATTTAATTGATAAGAAATCAAGTTCTGTTTGTTACTTCTTCAGGCATTATTAAATTGGTAGAATAAAAGGCTAAATACAGTTTCTTCTCTAAGTTTCAAAGTGCTATGTGTACATATATAATTGATTAACTTATAGCATAAACCATCTCTTCTTCTCAGATTCTTTAATTCTGTTGATTTTATCATCATCCTATAACTGTGAACTTGAGGTCCATATTTTAGTTATTTTTTCCTCTAACCTCTTTTTTCTTATTGTAATTGAAGATTGTTGAATCTTTCTTTTTAATTATTTTTGTAACAATATCTTTCACTTCCAATATCATTACTCAGCTTCAGGGCGTTATATGGGTTATATCAGTGCCACATTATTACTCTTCCTAACTCCTCCCTTTTTCCAAACTCACTGTTCATGTCTATGATAAAAAAATGAAGACATTCTACTAAAATATTTTTTAAATCCAGAAGGAATTCCTCTAGCTTCAAGTTGAAACAAAACAAAATAAAAATCTCTTAACTTGCAATTCAAGGTTCTCTCTACATATCTGTCTCTATGTATTCCATTTCTGTAAGCCACCACCATGCAAGCAATGTGCCAAACCCAACAGTGTGTACATGCACACACACACACACACACACACACACACACACACACACACTAAATTCTGCTGTTTGCCTTGTTCCACATAGACCACCTGTCCCTTTATTTGCTTCTTCTTCTACAAATTAGGTACTGGAATCATGCATGAAGGTTTGTTTCATCCACCAATTTCTCAATCAAGTCTTTCCTTGTCACTTTAATGAATGGTTATATATTTTTCTAATATATCCTATCCAATGAAAGAGTAATATGCAAATTAATCAGCACTCCACAGCAAAATGTCAGTGCCCAGTCTTCTAAGTCCTGCCTGAGTCCCAGCAGAGTAAGTGGCCTGGCATAAAGCTGCCCAGAGTCCTTCCTGGCCCTTTATAAAAACAAAAACAAAAACAAACAAACAAAAACAAAAAACTAATTCACTCCCCATGGAGCGATCCTGTCCCAGCCCCAACCTGGGGTCTCAGCCACTGAGTCACAATAGCCAGACAGATATGTAAGAATCTTAAATATTTATTATTGATTTTTTACAGAGAGGAAGGGAAAGGGATAGAGAGCTATAAACATCTATGAGAGAGAAATATCGATCAGCTGCCTTCTGCACACTCCCCACTGGGTATATGTTCCCAACCAAGATACATGGCCTTGACCGGAACCAAACCCTTGAGTCTGCAAGTCATCCATTATGTTAAAGAAAAAAACCCTATTTAATAAAGAGGGAATATGCAGGGGAGGGCATTTGGGGGTGACTGGAATGTCAGGGGAGGGCAGTTGGGGATGATCAGGCAGGCAGGGGAGTAGTTAGGCATCGATCAGGCTGGCAAGGGAGTGGTTAGGAGGTGATCATGCCGACAGGCAGAAGCAGTTAGGGGCAATCAAGTAGGCAGGCGAGCAGTTGGGAGCCAGCAGTCCCGGATTGTGAAAGGGATGTCCAACTGTTTAGTCCCAGCAGTTGGACATCCTCCCAGGGGTCCCAGATTGGACAAGGTGCAGGTGGGCTGAGGGACACACACCCCCATGCATGAATTTTATGCACCGGGCCTCTCGTGTGTGTGTGTGTGTGTGTGTGTGTGTGTGTGTGTGTGTGTGTGTGTAATTTTACATTACATTACATTATACTAGAGGGCCAGTGCACAAAATTACAAAACTCGTGTGGGGGGGTGGGGGGGTGTCTCTCAGCCTGGCCAGCACCCTCTCCAATCTGGGACCCCTTAAGGAATGTCCAACTGCCTCTCGCAATCCAGGAACACTGGCTCCTAACCACTCACCTTCCTGCCTGCCTGATCACCCCTAACCCCTCTGCCTTACTGCCTGATTGCCCGTAACTACTCCCCTACTGGCCTGATTGCCTCTAACTGCTCCCAGCTGGCCTGATCACCCTTAACCACCTCTGCCTAGCTCCGCAACCAGGACCCAGGATTCCCTGTTCTGACTGGTTGCAGGCACTCAGGACCTGGGATTCCCTCACTTTGTTTTTGTTTTGTTTTGTTTTTTTAATAAATATATTTTATTGATTTTTTACAGAGAGGAAAGAAGAGGGATAGAGAGCTAGAAACATTGATGAGAGAGAAACATCGACCAGCTGTCTCCTGCATACTCCCTGTCGGGGATGTGCCCGCAACCACTGTACATGCCCTTGACCTGAATGAACCTGGGATCCTTTAGTCCACAGGCCTACGCTCTATCCACTGAGCCAAACTGGTTTTAGTGCATTCCCTCACTTTGGATGGCTGCAGGCACCCAGGACCCAGGCTGGCTTTGCCCAGGCTGCAGTCGTAGGTGCCCAGGATGACAAAGCAGACAGCTTGTCCCTCTCCTGGGTGGCAGTTATAGGTGCTGGAGCCCAGGATGACAGGGCAGGCAGCTTGCCCCTCTCCTGGGCCACAGGCATGGGTCCTGGTGCTCAGGACCACGGGGCAGGTGGCTTGTCCCTTTCCCAGGCCACAGGTGCGGATGAAGCCACTCATGCCCAGCACTGCATGGCAGATGGCTTGTCACTCTCCTGGGACACAGGGATAGCCGCTGGTGCCTGGGACTGTGAGGCCCGTGAATGGTCCCTCTCCAGTGCCAAAGCCCTAGTCACTGGCACCTGGTACCATGGGGCGTGCAGCTTGTCCCTCTCCTGGGCCAGGCTGGGCCATAGGCACAGGTGTAGCTGCTGCCCCCCGGGAACACAGGGCAGGCAGCTTGTCCCTCACCTCACCACAGTCTGGTTGGTCCTCCATTTCTTTCTCACAAGCTCATTTGTGCCTGGCTGGTCCCCATTCCTCTCTCGCGAGCTCATTTTTGCCACTGGGATCTGATCTAAATGGACATTTGGACATCCCTCTCACAATCTAGTACTGCTGGGTCACAACTGCTCATCTGCCTGCCTTCCTGATTGCCCCTAACCGCTTCTGCCTGATTGATGTCTAACTGCTCCCCTGCCAGCCTGTTTGACCCCAACTTCCCTCCTCTGCTGGCCTGGTCACCCCTAACTGACCTCCCCTGCAGGCTTTATTGCCCAAAACTGCCCTCCCTTGCAAGTCTGGTGCCTCTCAACTGCCCTTCCTTGATGGCCATCTTGTGATGACCATTTTGTGTCCACATGGGGGTAGGATCTTTGACCACATGGGGGCAGCCATATTGTGTGTTGGAGTGATGGTCAATCTGCATATTACTCTTTTATTAGATAGGATAAAGGCCTGGAAGCCAGCTGGTTTGCCCTGAAAGGTGTCCCAGATCAGAATGGGGGTTCCCTTGGGGTGTGAGGTGACCTGGACAAGGGGCCTATGGTGATTTGCAGGCTGGTCATGCCCCCTGGCGACCCAAGTGGAGGCCCTGGTATCTGGAATTTATTTACCTTCTACAATTGAAATTTTGTAGCCTAGAGTGGAGCCAAGCCTCCTGCCACTCTGTAGCCAGCAGCCATTTCTGTTTAGATTTGTTTAACTTCTATAAAGTTTGTAGCCTTGAGTAGCGGCTTAGGCTGGCTAGGGCAGGTAGAAAGCTTGGCTTCTTCTGTTGCCTGAGAAACCCAAGCCTCCCTCTTGTTCTCTGTGGATGTAGCCATGTTGGTTGGGTTTATTTGCATACTCGCTCTGATTGGCTTGTGGCTGGTGGGTGTAGCAGAGTAATGGTTAATTTGCATATTACTCTTTTATTAGGTAAATGGATTATATTATATTATATTATATTATATTAATTTTATTATATTATACTAGAGGCCCAGTACATGAAATTTTTACATGGGAGAGGGGGGTTGCCCCTCAGCCCAGCCTGTACCCTCTCCATTCTGGGACCCATTGAGCAATATCTGACCTACTTACGGCCTGATCCCACCAGGATTGAGCCTAAATGGGCAGTTGGATATCACTCTCACAATCCAGGACTTCTGGCTCCCAAATGCTTACCTGCCTCTGCCTGATTGCTCCTTATTGCTTCTGCCTACCAGCCTGACCAACACCTAACTGCTTCCTAGCCGGCCCGATTGCCCTTAACTGTCCTCCCCTGCCAGTCTGGTTACCCTTAACTGCCCTCCTCTGCCAGTCTGGTCACTCCCAACTACCCTCTCCTGCTGGCATGGCCACCTTTAAGTGCCCTCCCCTGCAGGCCCAGTCCTCTCCCAGCTGCCCTCCCCAGCTGGCCTGGGCACCCATAACTGACCTCCGCTGCAGGCCTGGACCCCTTCAACTGCCCTCCTCTGCTGGCCTGGGAAACCTTAACTGCCCACAACTGCCCTCCCCTGCAGGCTGTCTTGTGGCAGCCATCTTGTGTCCACCTGGGGACAGCCATCTTTGATAACAAGGGGGTGGCCATCTTGTGTCTTGGAGTAATGGTCAATTTGCATAGTACTCTTTTATTAGATAAGAGTATATTCTCAAGTTTAATGTTCTCTCTCCAAAGTTTCTAGTGACTTCTTCTCTACTTGACAATATTGGGACAATTAAACACAAAAGTAGAGATTATGTTACTTTAACTTCTCTAACTAAGTATTCATGATGTTCCTCAGAGAACATAATTCCAATTTCTTCTCTGTCTGAACAAGAGAAACTACTGAACTATGTGGTCTATGAGAAAAAAATAAAAACAAGGTGGCTAAGTCTTGCACATAATAAACAGTTTAAAATATTTGGCCGGGACCGGTTTGGCTCAGTAGATAGAGCGTCGGTCTGCGGACTGAAAGGTCCCAGGTTCGATTCTGGTCAAGGGCATGTATGTTGGTTGCGAGCACATCCCCAGTGGGGGGTGTGCCAGAGCTGATCGATGATTCTCTCTCATCGATGTTTCTAACTCTCTATCCCTCTCTCTATCTCTCTGTGAAAAATCAATAAAAAATATTTAAAAATAAATAAATAAATAAAATATTTGCCTAACAATCTAATGTCACTAATTACAGTGGATCAGCGTCCCTTTCGCACTGTCACATCCTGCAGTTACAGACATTGGGTTTACGTCTACACATGCCAAATACCAGGCTCCTTGGCTGGGCACTATTGAATCATTTGAAGTCTACACCTGGCTTGACAGTTTTCTGTTGTTGGTAAGTGATGTCTTAACTGATAAATGCCACCTAATTTTTTTCCCCTAAAACCAAATGCATTTTTAAGATTTGAATGATTCTATGTAAATTTAACCCACTGGCTCATGACCATTTCTGAATCTACTACTTTCTATGGAAGGATGGAGCTGACTGGTGTCAAAGTGGAGAGCAAGTAAGACCTTAAAGGACAATGGCCATGGGATTGTGTGCACACATTTCTGTTGTGCTATAAATGAAGAAACCCCATGCCATACTCCTAGATACCTCCTCAATCTGAGGACCAAGCCAGCTAAAAGTTTTCACTTTTATTTTGAATTAGGCCAATTTAAGTCAAATTATTCTGAAATAATTGACTCATTTAGTCTCTACATAGTAAGAAAACTAATAGTGCTAAAGCCTTACGTGTCTGAGACAAACTAGGAAATGCATCCTCAGTGAAGAAGGTCTGGGCAGTTTGAGGCAACCTGGGAATGACAGAACCTTAGGACAGAGGAGCTGTCAGTGAGAAGTGAGTACAAAAGAAATAAAGGCAGACCACAGATTAAGAAAAGAGGGAAAATCAAAGGGACCTACCTGCCAGATTTTGTGACTTTGCTAGTTAGGAGGATTTTGTGTAAAATAAAGCAATTTTTATATCAAAATTAAGGGGAAATTGTTTATTTTTTCTCTTTTGGTGGGTCACAATTTATTATGATTGCACTTTGTCTTTGTGGCACTTGTTAACTTTTAGCACTGAAATTAGATGTATTTGTCTCAGTAAAGAATATCCTGGTAAGAAGGCAGGAGAACAAGAACAAAAAAATGTTTCTTATGGAAGTGGGGGATTTTCTTTTTCAAGGATTATTACAAAATGTATTAGCTAAAGTTATTCTTAAATGGGTCACAATTTTTAATTTAATGGAGAAAGTAGCAAACATTATCTGAGTATGTAACTATACCTGCACAATGGGTATGTTATGGTATATAGAAAGAAATGAGGAGACTCACAAATGATAGGTCATTTGTCAATAATAAATGGGGGGATATGGACCCATGTAATACCTTAATCAATTAAAAAATTTGAAAAAAAAATAACACCACCATTGCCTGAGTAAAACATTGAAATAGTGACAAAGCAAAACCCCAAGGTCCTTTCTTATATACTAATTAGTCCTCAGCTTTGCTAATCTTCAAGATAAAGTATTATATCCAATGACTGCTAAAGTTTTTCCAGCTCAAGAAATCATATGGTTAAGATATTTTCATTTTTTTAAGTTGTAAAATAAGTTGAAATGAATGAATGACTGAACTGTAGAAGTGAGTCTTGAAATGTCTCACCAATGGTCTCTGATCTTCCACTTTTTATACAAATGGTTGTCTGATCCTGGTCATGATACTCTCAGGGTCTCTCTCAATCCCATTCTGAACTGCCCACTGTCCCTGGACTAGCATAAAGTAAGGCTGACAGCTTTTCTCACCTGGCCGATTGTAATAGGCCATCAGTTCTCCCTGAAGTCAGCCCTCATACCTCTCACTTCTCCAAACCCATTTTCTACCTGGCCATCAGAGCTTCTGTTTATTAGTGGAGGTCCGATTTTATCCTACTTGTGACCTAATTATCAAGAGAGATTGATATCTGAGTTATTATATATCAACTTATAGAATCATTGATATTATTGAACAATATTCATTTATATGGAAAAGGTTCATAATATGTTGATTTATAGGTTACAAGACAAAAAAAGCTTGAAAAGAATCTTTTTCTTTCTTTTTCTATTGGATTCTCTGCCAGGTACTCTCTTCTTTCTCCATCTCCATCTAGTGATACTCTCCCAGTACCTAAGGACTTATTCAGATGTAATTTCTGTAGGTTTCCCTAATTACCAGGCAGTTGTGCCTTTCTACCCCTTAGTTACCCCAAAGTAAGTAATTGCTTCTGACTTCTGTTCCCATACACACCTCTGAAGCATGCAATGCATTATATAATAGTTCAATGTCATCAAGCTTTTTTCATTATATTTCATCAATATGAATTTTAAATACACTCTCAATGTTAATAAATGTACTTACAAACTATTTATATACACTTTACTGATACATTGTATAAATACTTTAATAATAGCCCTATGAGATTTAGGCATGAGGTAAAATGATTACAAATAGAAGTTCTGATAATTTGGATACCGAATGCATTTTCTGGAGGCTCTGCACACTCCACTTTGGAGAACCCTGCACTGTGCTAACTCTCCGTGGACAGCGACCCAGAGCAAAGCCATCCCTGCTCATCTTTGTGCCCTGACAGCCATTACCTTGCCGGGCACATATCAGAGTTCAGAAATATTCATTGGGCTGTACTGATTCAGATTTTAAAACTCCATGTTTTCAGAGTTTTAATTTTTTGAGACAATTTTGTGGTTAGGACCTCCTGATAAGAACAAAGAGACTTCTAAGACATTGTATTGCAGCTTAGAGGAGGTAGATTTAGGAAAATATTGTCTTGTGTAATTACAAAGGAAACAAACAGAGAGAAATTCTGCACAATTGTAAATATAATAACAAAATAATAACCATTGAGGTGTGTGGCATATAGGACCATTCTTTATACTTTAGTAATATACATACAATTATTCTTAAAGTAATTGAATTAATGTAATCTCATGCTAAAAGTATCTAATATATGCTATTTGTCTCCAATAAAATTCTGCACCCCTTTGGTTTCCATGCAGATGTTGGGTGGAATCCCATGGCAAGCCTACTTCCAGAGAGTCCTCTCTTCATCCTCAGCCACCTACGCTCAGGTGCTATCCTTCCTGGCAGCTTTTGGATGCCTGGTGATGGCTATACCATCTATACTCATCGGGGCCATTGGAGCGTCAACAGGTACCTCTCTTGCAGCTTCACATTAACCCACTCTGGCTCCATTAAAGTTACCAGTTACCAGAGCTACTCTCCCTCTCTCACTTTCCTCTACCCCACATAGTCCATCATTATAGTCTCCAACAAATTGTATTATACATTCATAGTCTCCAAACATTTTTCAACTTCTCATCCCACCAATGAAATATTTATAATCATCCCCTCCCCAGGCATTGTTATATTTATCAACTGTGCATATGTAATCCTGTCAGCAGTTCTACTCAATTAAGGTACAATTCACATCATGTGCAGAGGAGAAGAGGGACTCTTTAAAAAAAATACCAATTTCTATCTCACCCCACAGGGATTTTACTTTAATGATCTAAGATAGAGCCAGTGACCAGGGTTTTTAAAATCCCCTCGATGAGTAAAGTACAGCCAGAAGTTTGCCTGCCATTACTATGACCACTTTAAACCTGAAGGTGTTGCTTTTATTGTTAGTTAAGTTTTCCTTCTTGAAGAAATCAGTCAATACGTGTATAGATAAAGATAAAATAAGGTACTAAGTCTCTTAGAGAATAACTTATTCAAACTGGTAAAAGAGCATTATAAAATGTTTGTCTCCCAGTTAGACTCTATCTCAAAGATATTTTAAATCTCACCCTTAATTTTACTGATCTTATTGATTATTCCTGAATTGTATGTTCCTGTGTTATACAGATTTTGAGTAATTTACACAAATATGTCATATTAGCCCTGTAGGTTCAGCTAATTAAAATAGTCTCCAGAAGCTGACCTTTTACTCTGTTGTGTTCGTAAATATTATCCAGGATGATACCCACAGTTTGTAGAGCTATTTATTGGATGACAAATTTTAAGAGAGCAGTTATGGTTCATATCGCATTCTAGTTGTACATTCATGAGATAAGCAAACACTTAAAACAATGTCTGATAATGGTGACTAAGTGCCTTTGAATAAAATATAGCATTTATGTCACAATCAGAAGATGGATCTGGAAATTATTGTATGCTATGCGTATGTGCTGCAGGACAATCCACTGGAAAAAATATAAAGCTTATTTTTTATAGATTAAGTACATATTTTGATTGCTGTTATTTTGGGTATCATGACATGTCAGTTAATGCTATAAAATTGGCTTAATCAAATCATAGCTTTAACAATGTAATGGAAAATAAGGGAAGAAAAAATGACAAGATCCAAGGGAAAAGATTCCCATTTTATTCTGTAATCATGACATACAAGAAGTTAAATAAATAAAAAAGAGCTATTTTAATGTATCTCTATTCTTTAGCATATGCTAGTACAAAAGTACCCCATTATCCATGGAGGATACATTCTAAGGCATGCAATGATGCCTGAAATTGCAGATAGTACCAAATCTCATATAGTAAGTCCTCACTTAACATCACTGATAGGTACTGTGACTTTAATCAAAATGATGTATAATGAAATCAACTTTACCATAGGCTAATTGATAACAAACAAGAGTTAGGTTCCTATAAGATCCTATAAAATAATATAATGAAACTAGAGGCCCAGTGCACAAAATTCATATTCTCAGGGGCATCCCTCAGGCTGGCCTCCATCCTCTTGCAGTCCAGGAGCCCTCAGGCGGGGCAGTGAGACATTCTAACCACTGCCATGGAGGTGTGAGAGGTTCCAGCCACTGCTGCTGGGCTCACCAGCAGTGAACACAGCTTCTGGCTGAGCAGTGCTCCCTTTTTGGGAGCACACTGACCGCCAGAGGGCAGCTCCTCCATGGAACGGGATCCAGCAGAAATTGGCTCTCTGACATCCCCTGAGGGGTTGTGGATTGTGAGGGGAAGCATGCATGGTCTAGGGACCTGGCTGGTATACTATCAGGGCCAGGAAGGGATGTGGGAGGTTGGCCAGCTGGGGAGGTACCATGGGAGGATATCTGGCCCATCTTACTCAGTCCCAATCAGCTGGACCTCAGCAGCAAGCTAATTTACCAATCGGAGTGTCTGCCCCTGGTGGTCAGTGCATGTCATACCAAGCAGTTTAGCAGCCTTGGTATATCATTAGCATATTACGTTTTGATTAGTTGAATGAACAACCGGATGACCAGACACATAGCATAGTAGGCCTTGATTATATAGGATGACACTGAATGAAATGACATTATTCAAAGACTTGCTGTATATACTGTTTTATTTTATACATACACTAGAGGCCTGATGCACAAAATTTGTGCAAGGGGCTTAGCCTTCACAGCCCCAGCTTCTTCTAGAAAGGTGGTCCAGAAGGACATCTGGCCTAATTAGTGTATTATTTTATTATTATAGGTACCTATAATTAATTTTAACATACATTAGGCAAAGTAATAGATTAACAACAATAACTAATAATAAAGTAGAATTATAACAGTATGCTGTAATAAAACTGATGTAAATGTGGTTTTTATTTCTCTCAAAATACCTTATTGTGTGGTACTCATTCTTCTTTTTCTTATAATGAGGTTAGATGATGCAATGCCTACATAATGAGATGCATTGAGGTGACTGGCATATGCACAGTGACACCGCATAAGGCTTACTTAAGCATGAGCACTGTGATACCAGACAGCTACTGATACCACAGTGATGGATGGGTGGGAGCATGTATAGCATGCATGAATCTCTGGAAAGATTGGATGGGACCATGTAAGACTGAATCGCACACTAAAATGTGGTGCAATTTAAAACATATAAATTGTTTATTTCTTGAATTTTCTAATTTCAGATCAAGGTTGAGAATGAGTAATTGAATGCAATGAAAGCAAATCCATAGATGGAGAACTATTGTATAACTAAATATTAAAGGAGCTATCTATTAAGAAATACGTTTCAAATCCTTTTACCACAGAGTCCAAAAACCTGAAAATTTCAGCCTGGTATCTTCATTGTTTTTAAAATATGTTTTTATTGGTTTTAGAGAGAGAGGAAGGAAAAGGGAGAGAAACATCTATGAGAAAGAAAAATCAATTAGCTGCCTCCTGCACACTCCCTCCTGGAAATCCAGCCTGCAACCAAGGCACGCACCCAGATCAGGAATCCAACTAGTAACTTCTTCCTGCAGGGAATGATGCCCAACTAACTGAGCCAAACAGGCCAGGTGTATCTGCTTTTTAATCAATAAAAATGGGAATTTTCTTTATCTATTATTCTTCCTATTTCTAGTAACTGAAAACTGATGCAAAAATGAATTTAATTGGGAAGAAGTAATGCTGAGGGAGCTCCAAACCCAAGTTTATATACAGAAAGAGGATGAGTGAGAATAGCCCCAATTTATTTATTAAAAATCCATTTATGCATTTATAACTGAAGACTAAGGAATGAAGTATTGTGCCTTCTCAAATGATTGAAGAAATCACCTATGTTTCAGTTTAATACTTTTTATATGATTCTGTACAATGGAATGCCACAATTTCAGAAGATATAGGTATGTAGTAGGTAGATAGATAGATAGATAGATAAGTAGATGATTGATAGATTGGTAGATGATAGAGATATTGATGATAGATAGATAAATGATAGGTAGATCTATCATGATCATGTTCTGTGCTGGCCTTTTGAATAAGACTAAATATAACCAAAACCCATTAGAAGCCAAGGCCTATAAGATAATTTCACTTGACCAGTACATGGATGTCCCACCTAGTTAGACTAACATACCTAGTTAGAGTAATTAGACTTCCCACCTAATTAAGCTAATTCGTACATTCTGAATTGTCTTAAAAATATCTAGTAAATAGGATGGCACTAGATTGACAAAGAACATATGACTTTTTGTTCTCCTTATTCCTTTTTTTTCTATTCAATAGACTGGAACCAGACTGCATATGGGATGCCAGATCCCAAAAGCAATGAAGAAGCAGACATGATTTTACCAATTGTTCTGCAGTATCTTTGCCCTGTGTACATTTCTTTCTTCGGTCTTGGTGCAGTTTCTGCTGCTGTTATGTCATCAGCAGATTCTTCTATCTTGTCAGCAAGTTCAATGTTTGCTCGAAACATCTACCAGCTCTCATTCAGACAAAATGTAAGAATGATGTTTTAAATGTTACATTCTTGTTTTGTTGTTGTATATTTATTATGTTAGTATATTTATTATGTATGTAATATTACATACTTATTAATATCATATATTAAAATTCAACCCTACTTTCATTAAGCATATAAGGTTAAATAATGATGAATTTCACTTATGCTATATATTGATATTTTCATGAATATTATCATTCATGTTAATACGGAAGGAAACAAAGCAATATAATTATTTCCCAAGATGTTCAGTTACATTGTTACAGTTTAAACCCTCCTGTCTAGTGAAAGAGTAATGAAACCTAAAATATTTTAGAATAACTTTGAATTTAATTAAACATGTTAAGAAACTTGAGAACCCTAGCAGAAGTAGAACATGGCGAATAATTTCATGGGATTTGTGTTCACCTTTGTCCAAACCTAGTCTCCCAATTTGGTTTCTTTAATGCATCTAGTGGCTGTAGAACACCACGCTACTATCGGCTACTAGGACCCAACAGCCCTTCTCCATCTTCTTCCTTGACCAAGGCTTTGCCTTTCTCTAGATTTTCTAGGTCACTGTTAACAAAATGTTTCCACTTGTTTTTGAAGGTGGTTCCCTTAAAGATGGTAGGGTTCCTATGGAGAGAAGAAGCAAGGATAAACCATGCCTCCTCACTGCTACATAATAACTGTTCCATAATATGTAAAATGAGCAAATTCCCAAACTCTTACCTTTGTGCTGTTCTTCTATGACAACAGGTTAACTTAGCTCACCACTGCCCCTGCACAGTCTGGGAAAGGTGTGGGTGGTCTGGTCCTGCATGCTGTGCTCAGCAACCTTCCCTAAGGCCCACCAGGGAGGCCAGCTAGATTGCTTGCTTCATAGGATGTGGTTTAGGTTGGTTTTTCCCATAGGTTGAGCCAATTGAAAGCAGGAAATTCTTTTAACCAGCTGTGGTAATTTCTTGCAGGCATCAGACAGAGAAATCGTGTGGGTCATGCGAATCACAGTGTTTGTGTTTGGAGCTTCTGCAACAGCTATGGCACTGCTCACAAAGACCGTTTACGGGCTCTGGTACCTCAGCTCAGACCTCGTGTACATCATCATCTTCCCGCAGCTTCTCTGTGTGCTCTTCGTCAAGGGAACCAACACGTATGGAGCTGCTGCAGGTTATGTTTCTGGCCTCTTCCTGAGAATAACTGGCGGGGAGCCATATCTGTACCTGCAGCCCTTGTTCTTTTATCCCGGCTATTACTCTGATAAGAATGGCATATTCAATCAGAGATTCCCCTTTAAAACTCTGGCCATGGTGACCTCATTCTTAACCAACATTGGCATTTCTTATCTAGCCAAATATCTATTTGAAAGTGGAACCTTGCCACCAAAATTAGATGTATTTGATGCTGTTGTTGCAAGGCATAGTGAAGAAAACATGGATAAGACCATTCTGGTCAAAAATGAAAATATTAAATTAGATGAACTTACACCTGTGAAGCCCCGACAGAGCATAACTCGCAGCTCAACTTTCACCAACAAGGAGGCTTTCCTTCACATGGATTCCAGTCCTGAAGGGTCTGGGGCTGAGGATAATTTACAATAGCCCATCTAAACAAAACACTGCTTTCTCAGACTTATGTAGCAGGCTAATTCTGGAGGGATGGTGAGCAGCATGTAAATATATATTTAAAAATAACATCCAGGAAGACAAAAATCCATATAAAAATACAACTGTAACAAGTACAGGCCACTCTAAAAGAAATACCTATTAAAGCATCAGCTTTGTTTCTCATTGGTATTTCTCAATCCTATTTGGTTTTGTCTCTGGATAGTTTTCCTACATATTCAGTAATAAGTAAAGCCCCACTCAAAGAACAGAGGGCCATGTGAAGTATCTTTATTATGAAAAAATGAAACAGAGATGAAGGAACCAAGGCAATGAGGTATTCTGATCCAGACAATGTCTGCTAACACACTGGTGAATGTAGTTTAATCACCTCCAGAAGCTATGAGCATGATGCACTGTTACACCAATGAATGATGCAATGAATGAGCCAGCTGATTTTCTTGAAGGATGATGTATCCCTTAACTTGTGTTAACTATAGCACATGTTGAATATGCAATGTGTTTTTCTTTTAATAGCAGCATGTATTACTCTAAGCATAGGCAAAGCAAACACAAATTATATTTTATGGTGACTTTTGTATCTGTAGGGTGATAGGAAAATAGAATTAATCTGTATGGAGGAGCAGAGGCTTCTTTGAGTGTATCCCCAGCCACTGTATACACTGAGGAGAGCCCAGGGGGCAAGGAAGATATGGCTAGTGGGCAAACTTAAAACCATAAATACAAAAGATCATTAAGAATAAGTAACAGGAAAAGCAGTGGATTTTTACCTTCATTTTAAGTTTATAAAGTTCTGATTCATGATTAAAGAAATAATGTTTTGGCTTAGAAGTAAACTTGAGCCATATGTAAGGTGAGGTAGCTCTATAGTACCAATTAAGGCTAATGAGAGACAAACTGCAAGTCCTGACAGGAGTAAAACTAGAAAATTAAAACCCACCAATTTTATGTTTTATGTATGCATGTATTTATTTATTTATTTTATTTTTTATTACACTTTATATTCAACATTATTTTGTATTATTTTCAGGTGTAAAGCATAGTATTTAGACAGTCATATACACTGAATGGCCAGATTATTAGATCTCTGAATGCATAATCTGGCCACTCAGTATATATATATATATATATATATATATATATATATATATTCAGGTAATTTTTCAGCTCAACAGTTTACTTTGGTCAAGGGCACAATTTTCATATTAGCCTTTTATTATATAGGATATAGACTGAATGGCCAGATTATTATGCATTCAGAGATCATAATGATCTGGCCACTCAGTGTATTTGATCCTGATATGATCATCCTGATATTTCCTGTACCTACCTGGTACCATACATAGTTACTATAATATTACTGAATTTATTCCTTAGTTATATTTCACATCCCTCTGACTATTCTGATTACCAATTTGTACTTTTTAATTTATTCATCTGTATTAATGAGGATAATTTATTTCTAAGAGTATGAGAGGTGCTGGGGCTGGTGCTGGGCAAAAGAGGTGAAGGAGTTAAGCAAAAATATCTGGAACAAACTCATAAGACACAGACATCAGTATGGTGATTACCAAAAGGCAAAGGGGTAAGGGCTGGTAAAAGTGGGTTATGAAGAGATAAATGGTAATGGAAGGGACTAACTAGAATTTGGGTGGTGAATAATCAATACAATATACAGTTAACGCATTACATAATTGTACAATTGAAACATATAATTTATTAATCAGTGTCATCCCAATAAATTCCATAAAAATACATTTTAAAAGGCTACTCCATAGCGCTTTTTCATATAAGCCAGTCTTAGGCAGTAGACAAATTACCACTACAAAAAGTATCCAGTGAATTTTAAAATGCAGAAGAAAACATAAAATAAACATAAGTCCTAAAGGGAAGAAGCATCAATTTGAACATTTGGTGTCTACATAACTTTTATGAGATGGTCACTAAATATTATTTTGTTCCTTTTCTAGAGTGAAAAATATGTGTGTATATATAGTATAATGGTTTGTATCCATTTTAGAATTCTAATTGCTTTCCCATAAGTGATGTAACAGGAATAATTGAAGCTATGTGTAACAAAGCCAAGTAAACTGTTGAGCTGAAAAATTACCTGAATATTTGGTCCAATAAAGAAAGGCAGACTGAATTATTTTAATTTTTCTAAAGGTATTTCCTTTCTGTGATTCTTCGATGAAGTGAGGATTTATTCAGTTTGGATATTCTATATAAAAGTGGTGATCGAGAAACTGGGCTTCCTGTTTTTAATTGTATTTGTTCAAAAGCATTAGGTATTATATCTCTTTGTTATTAAACATGAGTTAAATTTAGAGGATAATTTTAAAATATAAAATTGAATCATTTTACCTGTTGTAACATTCCATATTTTTAATGCTTTATCAAATATTGATGGTGGTTATGACATTGCACTCAAAATCTTTACAGAACATCATCCATACCTAAATGAAAAGAGAGTTCTTTGTACAAATTTATTTGCTCAAATTCTGCTCCATGCTCAGTGCCCCCTGGAGCACTTGGAAGGAGCAATTTTAAAACCAGTAAGAGTGAACATCCTAAGATTCTCAGACATGGATTGAGAGAAGAGCCAGGGGTAGGGAAAACATTAGAGTAAAACTACACTGATGACATAATTTGACATGTAAAAGCGATTAATTGATGGGCTGCAGTGTCCGGAAAACATGACACTTCAGATGTACCATGTTTTCTAGCCTACTACTTAAGCATTGTAACAGAGTACAAGAGGGAAGTCCACTCTCTTTACAGACATTTTACAGTGTTGTCTGGCAATAATTGTTCAAACAATCATATGAAATCCAGTGAAAAAGAATAAATATTAATAGTGAAAATTCATTTCATTTCATTCATTTTGTAAAAACAGAAAGATGAAGGGGAAATAGTTTACCTTATCCAAAATATTAAAAACTAGATAACTCATTTTAGATACCACATAATGTTCTATTTTATTAAACCTATTATTTTCAACCTACTTTCAAACTAAATGATTTAAAAAACCTTGGTTAATAGAAAATCCAATAATAAATGTTATGCTAAGTGAAATAAGCAAGATTTTTTTTTAAAGGAACAAAAATAGTAAAAGTTCAAAAGGAAGGAAACAATAATTGTAAGGTCCTTAATTAGGCACCTTCACAAACAAATTTCCCGTAGTTTCCAAGGAAGGAATAAAGTTGTGAAGTGCACAAGACAGGGTTTTATACTCATCACTTGCACTGTGATAAGCATAAAACAGGTATTAGAGACATCACAGGTATTAGAGGCAGCTTTGTATTCTTCCAACTTTGCTCAGTGGACATACTTTTCAAAAACCCATTCTCAATAAAAACAAAGCAACATAAACATTTTAGACACTGGCTATATTAACCCTGGAGACAATACCTGTGTAATAAAACAATAGAATAAAACATTTTGTATTCATACTCTTAAGCTATTAGAATATATTTATTGGGTAATTTTAGTGTTTCTTCACACGTTTTTCCAAACATCAAACTTGTAGATGAAACACAACTATAAGTCACCAACATGCTTTCAAATACCGATTGTCAAAATCCAACTTCACTGTTACACTTGTAAGCAACACATTTTATGTGAATATTAAATGAATGCAAGCTTAAAATAATTTCACCTAATGTAATGGCTATTAGCTTTTTTATTTGGAAATAATAAATTAGCATTGTATCTTAAAGATAAATCAAGACTTTCTTTTAGTCTTTCAGAACATTTACTCTTATATAATGTATAATTTATTGTATTTGCTACTGAATGGACAGATATATAAAATGTTGCTAAACATATATTTTTGTCTGTCAAAACACATAAGAAAATTTGCAACTCTACATGTAAATGTTTTAAATGTGATGGTTCTATATTAAATTGTGCTCATGCAATTCAGGATATTCTTGTCCAGGTTTCACTTTTTGGGGCCCTTTCTTCAAACAAATATAAATGGTGTTTTAAGACAAATATACAATGGGATTGAAATAAACCATCTAATTAATGGAACTTGTGTAAATGCCAAATGGGAATGTTGCACCTACATAAGTCTCAGGGAAATATATGATATAATATCTCAAAATAAGTAAATTATTTTTCTTGGGATAGAAGTGCAGCTATGGTACACAAACTTTTCTTTGAATCAAAGAAGTCAATAGATATAATATATATTCAACTAATATCAAGATATGATGTTAAAAACCAAGTAGCTGTCTGATAATTGTTGATATATGATATACAATCACTAAATGACAAACTGGTTCTCATTTTGCTTTAAATATGTACTTCATATTTCTTACCAAACTCTCAAGGTGTCTTTAAAAGTGTAATTACAGCTGAAACCGTTTTGGCTCAGTGGATAGTCAGCCTGTGGACTGAAAGGTCCCAGGTTCGATTCCTGTCAAGGGCATGTACCTTGGTTGCGGGCACATCCATGATTCTCTCTCATTGATGCTTCTAACTCTCTATCCCTCTCTATTCCTCTCTGTTAAAAATCAATAAAATATTTTTTTAAAGTGTAATTACATATAACCTTGGGTGAACTGCAGCTTCTTATACCTTAATCACAAACATCTGTGCCTTTGGATGTCTATAGGGAGCTTGGATCTAGAGAGAGCTTAAGGATGAATGAAGGAAAGCATAAGTAGTTGTGGCAGGAGACATCACAACCACTGGTCTACCATTGTGGACACACTTATGGAGAACATGAATTTTTGCTTAAACACAAGTCTATGCTCTAGGGGAAATTATTGGAAGCTAGTCTAAAATATGATATTGAAGGCTGTGTTTGCTTTCTTTATTTTACCTAATAGTGTTAAGAGAGTTTAATTTGATCATTAGCATTTTCTTTAGAAAGATATTCTGAAAGAGATCCAGGGAGCTACAAGATAATGATAAATGATTATAAATAGTTTATATTTTTATACAATTGCCCAGAAAAGATAAACAAA